TGTACCCTAAGGTAGTTTGACCTCCTGAACATGAATATCACATCCGCTAGGCACGAAACCTCCTGGCGCCGCCACAGGCGCCGGCGCCAAAATACCTAAATCACCAAATTCGCTGAAAACTTGTTCTCAGGGGTAGTCTGACCTCCTGAACACGAATATCACATCCGCTCAGCCTGAAACCTCCTGACGCCTGCGCTACAGGCGCTGGCGCCAAAATACCCCAAATCACCGGCGCCTGTGGCGCGGGCGCCAGGAGTTTCGGGCTGAGCGAATGTCATATTCGTATTCAGGAGGTCAAAATACCCCAGGAGACAACATTTGAGCCAAATCTGTCCACGGAGAAAAAAGTCGGTCAGAAAATGGCTCAATTCTGGATGGTTGGGGCAGTAAAGGGTAAACAGTGCCGCCCACGCTTGCCAACACCCACCAGGAAAGCAATTTCAAGATCTCTTCATGCTTAAACTTAACATCCACTTCTATGAGAGGCAACACAATTGAATAGCCTGCACATGGGCAAGTAGTCTAAGCAAAATCATAATCTAATCCCACTTTGCAAACTACCGTCTCTACTCCTGCTCTTGGAATCACCGCCACACTTCATGAATTCATGTCGTCGCTGTACTAACTACTCCAATAGTTTGTTAGGTATGGAACTCGAGACATATACTACCTAGGGACCCATTTCAACCCGAGGGCATGCCAAAATTGCACATCGCGGTTGACATACTGATAGTACGACAAATCACTACATCCTGCACATCTTTGCAAAGGTGCCAAGTTATGGGCAAAAGTGTCGACCCAGACTGGATGGGACTCGAACCCGAAACTCAGACTTTTCGGGAGAGTGCGCTGTCCATTATACCACCAGGGACGTTAATACCCTCTCAGCTCAATGACTTCCGTGCCATGAGGTTACACGTTCTCTTATTTTGAGGTTCCACGCTCAATCAATATGGTTACGTTTTTGACCAGACGCAACTTTATTCGACGAAAATAGCGCATTCTCAATAAACATCTCTACATTTACCTCAGAAAATGAAGTGGTTCCTATAAGGCAAATACTTGAATAAAGGTTAATTACCTGCCATCCTTGACATTTTGGTAGATTTTCCTTGCTGTTTCCAAGAATGCGTCTTCAACATTGTCACCCCTAAAACAGGTGATATTCAGATAATAGATTAAAAGGCAAACCCGCAGCATAACTTCTCGCAAAAAAAAAGAAAAATAAAGATCACAATTCAAGTCAAGGACATATCTCTGCACCGTAACCTTCTCTTTGGAAACAGCATAACAACGCGGTTGTTGGCGAATAATTTGAGACATTCACATGAAACCTTACGACTCACGTCTCTTCTCGCACGCGAGACATTCAGGAACGTCAAGCCATTCTCCTCAGCGAATGCCTTCGCCTCTTCGTACGGTACATCTCTTTGCCCCTCCAAATCGGATTTATTGCCAATCAAGAAAATCGCACTATAAAAGATCACAACCAATCCGTTACATGTATTTTTCAGGTTATCACTGAAGATGAATTTACATTTACCCCCCCCCCCCCCCCTCCAAACCCCTATTTTCATGTGGCAGGTTAGGGTCAGTAAGTCCCCGCACTAGCGTGGCACTTTTCGCCTCCAGAATAGCCACGAAAGAACAGGGGCTGGGGGTGAGCGAACCTGCTGTGTCGTCTCCTCGACTCTGCCCGCGGCTAAGCCCTACAGTGCAACACTTTGCGTCTCATACAAAATCCTGGCAGTGAACATGCAGTCCAAAGAAGAGTAACATCAAGAAGATAAAACAGCGTATACAAGGGAGCGTCCATGGCTAGGCGTGGCGCTGACGTACGACAACACGCGCGGACTCGGAGGATGGCTCTCGGTTGACGGTGATGCCACCTCAACCAACCCAACCACTTTCAATGGCGTGTTTTGAGTGAGAAAAAAAGCACGTAATAAAAGGCGCACAGCATCAGTTATTGCAGCCGTGAAAGGGTCACTATCCAGCGAGGCTAAAACGCACAGTTCGCCTTTGACGGCGAAGAAAGCCTCTTAAAATGTACAATTCGAACAAAATGAAGCTGCATCCAAGTAATCGATTGGTGAGAACACAATTTTTCAGACATCGCCGTACAGCCAACTGCTGCAGATGGTTTGTACGTGAACGTCTCGTGTATCGTCACCATTAGTGCTCCTAGCAAGCACGCGATAGTATGAAGAGTTAGCAGCCGGAACTACATAAATTCTATTCGTTACCTATGAATACAAACTGCCGATATTTCATATGCAGCGTGACCTTCGCTGCGGATAGATGCAACAAGTGGGGAGGGACGGGTTTGGCACAGCTCCAGCCCATCTTCCACCAATTTCTTGTCGCAATGCCTGCTTCAACATTTGGTGGAGCCAAACTAGCCGTACTAGCACGCCCCAACATCGGCAGCGAACAGGACTTCACCTCCGCAAATTTTACCCGTATTCATTGACAATCGAGAAACTAACGATAATTTCATTAATAGTAGAATACTTCTGCTGTTTACCGAAACCAAAAACGTATACACAGAAAATGAAAAAAATACCAGAGAAATCAAACAAAGGTATCTTTCCTCCTGCATTCACGACATTCACATATGGATCGTGCGGTCGTCGGGTATGTGGCAAGAGAATCGTAATTCGCCGCGCCAGTGGGCGTCGCGTGCGACGTCGCGCCCGCTAATGACGACGATTTTAGGTGGTATTGGTCGAGAACAGACAATGTATGACCAAAAATAGACATAAGTGTCTACCATGTCCTTGTCTACATGAAATCCGATGCTCCAATCGAAAGGGTAGTGCAAATTGAGGAAACGTCGCGCCCATTGCCGCGCGCGACGAAGCGGCAATTACAATTCTCTTGCCCATCTCCTGCGGTCGTCAACGTGCTAAGGACGATAGGCTATTCAGTAGGTTCTTTTTTTCCTCTACAATGAAAAAACGATGGTATGTCTCCGAGGTGCGAGGCTATAGAAAGTTGCGCCGCTTACCACGCGCTCGGTCCACTTTTAATGCCTGGACCAGTCCGCCTGGGCCGAGGTAGCCTTTCCGAGGAGCTGCTACCTAATTAACGGCTCCCCTACGGAGCCGGTACTTTGGTAGCGTACTGGTTTGGGAGCATAACAGTATCAATTCACACATGGGCTGACCTCACCAAGTTGGGACTGACTCACTCAATATTATGTGGCGTTTCTAGGGTTCGCATTCAGTGATTGTATGGTCAGCGATGTGTAGTGCATCTCAGGCCAATGCACGTGTGTTGAAGCACATAGAGGGTCGTACCTCTCCTGCTGGAAAGGGGTTCGTATTTGGTCTCTGCAGAGAAGGAGGGGTCCGTATGTGCGTTGACAGAAAATTTTTTGCCGCACTGGAAAAAATTTTCTCTGATTGTTACTTTCCGCCTGATTGCCATCCAAGACGTATTGCCTACCCCCTCCCGGCTCGAGCAGTCAAGATTTCCGGAAGAAAAGAAAATACTCGGTAAATCTGGGAAATCACGGTAAGTCAAATTGCGGATACTTAAAATTTCCCGCACATGCTATATACTTCTCACCCCGACCGAGGAGAAAATCTTTTGGGTAAATAACTGGACAAGGAAAAGTGGGAATATTTATGGATTAGGTGTTGCGATAAGGAGGGAGGCGACCGAGACCCTCATTAGGTGGGAGGGGGATCGTACTGACACCTCTCGGAGGGGGGGGGCGTACCTACACTACCATTACACACGTCACGATGCTGCACCCTGGTGGCACGTGGTACGCTTACCACGCGCACAGACCGGAGTCAAATCCCAGATAAGCTCCCGCCCAGGCCTACCAAGCCTTCTACCCTTCGAGGATGGTATTGTATAAGATTCGTCTGGCAGTATCGTCTGGCAGTACAAGAACACTGAATTGAACATCTTCTTGTCCCCTCCATTTATTTTATAGGCCACATCGCATTCAATAAGCTACTACAGTTCTGAATGGGAGTGAAATGCGCGTCGCTTCCTAAAGGAAACTAATCGTCAGCAAAAGCCTCGTCCTATATTCCATAAGATACGACTACAGCCGGTGCAATAAGCCGGTGCAGCAAGTCATGGCAGGTCTAATGGCAGCAATGAAATCAATTTGATGAGGGCAAATACTATTTGCTCTCTACATCTGAAATAATAAAATAATATGCAAGTACTTTTACACTAATGTTAATCACATGAATGATGGATATTCCGCAATGTTTAAACAAATGAACGGATCTTTACGTGTGTTCATTATCCTTTTCCAAACGAGAGCAGCTGCGAAAAAGAGTGGATTTTAGTGCAGCCTTAGGTGTCCTTTCCACCAATTGCTACGGGTTCAGGATGGGATCAATTGGTGGAATGGTCTTCCTGCTTGCGCTCCCAGCCACGCCCCATTCACAAGCCTTCCGGATAAGGGATGATGACTGAATTCATTTGAGACAAGCCAGTATTACAATCATACTAATACATCAGCTTGAAGGTAAATGAAGAACAATAAGATCCCAAAAGGACTCGGTATAAGCGGGAAAGGGTAAGTCAACATAGGCTCCTTTCTGGCGCAAGATCGGTAAGAAAGGGCAGAGCCAGATCCGGAGATCTTATGATTTTTGACTATAACATTCTTCAACAAGATATGAACGTTTTATAATTTTAACAACTTCCTTGATTTTCATAGCAATCAATCCGTAGATATTCCCTGGAACACTTCATGTGCAAAGAAAAAAAATTATCATGCACAAGTCGAAAGTTCAGTGAAACTCCTGAAAAAGCCGTTCCGAGCTTGTCGCAAGGTCTTTCCGGTGAAGTACAGCAAACCCGCGACGATGATCAAGGATCAGGGACGCAGCCCTATTTGCCAAGGTTTGGCAGATCAGGTGGGCCGGGAACGTCATGCGTTCCGAAGGACCAGAGCGATTCCCGAGGTTCCACGGGATGTCAAGCGAACGCCTGGACGACCGCCTATGCGATGGTCAGACTTCTTCGTGAAAGCTCTGAACGAATGGTATGAAGTTCATCGTGTCCCTCGAGCAGAGAGAACAAACTTGGGCAACTCTATGCGTTACAAAGACTAATGGAGACGTCATGGGCGCCTGCTCGAGTAAATCGATGATCACCAAGAGCCCTGCACATCACTGCGAAAGTAATTTTCGCTGATACCATCCCATGACTTCTTGGAGAAATGAATGTTTGGCGATCCCAACGTATTAGTCACATTCGCGTGTTCAAGGCCAACGTGAACAGAGGCAAAAGAACTGAACGCGAAAGAGAAATGCAGAGAAAAAGAAAAAACACACCAGAGACCAAATTCCGATCCAAGTGTGACATCGATTCAAACAGAAACAAGAATGTTAAGAAAAAGTGAAGCCAAATTTAAGCGGATTTTGCAAGCAATTGCATTACGTGGGCAATTTTCTCACTATCTCGTGATTACATGAAAATTCTAGCCCTAACTTTGTGAAGTATCTCTGTCGCGAAACCCTGTAGGGCACAGGGATAGGCGGCAGCGGCTGTCAAGACATCAAAGGGTGCCAAAGCACGAGGCATACCAGAGGCTGGACCTTTTTCCAAGTGGGGGGGGGGTCAGCGGTAGGGAAACATTTATCTTGAAAGGCTGGAAGCCGTGAGGTCAGATGAACATGGACTGATATCTAGACGAGAAAGCGCAGACAAAAGCAGAAAACTGACGTGATTGAAGAGATTGCGAAATGAGTGATGGGAGCGTAAAGCGTTCCATAAATGGTGCAGCCATAGACTTTGTGCAACGGCTGGCTCCACATGTAATTCTGTCCTCCACCTCGAAATGCCCATAAAGCGGTCTAAAGGACCCCTCCTCCCAGTGATGACTCAACAAACAGCAAATGAAGGTGAGTACAGTTGGTATTTAACCCAACCAGGCATTCACTGGGACATGATGACGTCATCATATCAGAACACCATACCAAGCCAGCACGTGAGACAAAGGCTTAGGTAGGAGTACACGGCTTCAGGTAACCAAAATCTCTCGCTACGATCTAGAGGCATCTTTCTATGGCGTGTTCTGGCCGAGCACTTTAAGGGAGAAAATGGGGAAGAGTGAATTGAGAAGGAAAGAGAAGAAGGAAGGAGGAAGGCCTCGCGGGCGACAGATATCCTGAGACGCCAAGGAGAAGATCAGAGATATCAAATTCCGCTCGCCCACAGGCCCTATTTCGTTGCACTGTGCGACGATTCCATTCAAATGGTCTAGGAGCTTCAAGTACGTCTTGTTCGCTGCGGCTGATGGGGCGTGTCAAGGGAGCATGGGTTTGGCGAAAAGCTAGACTTTTTTCATTTTCATAAGCGACAATAAAGTGTCATATCGTTCATCAGACGTCTTCCTCCAACTGTTGCCATTTACCTGTTTCAAAAAGTCGTGGAGAACGGGCTGGCGGCACGCCAAGCTCAGCTGCACCGACACGCCCCATCTTAGCCAGCGAACAAGGCTGCAGTACGATGTCATGCAATAAAGCCCGATATAATTACTACTAAAAATCCCTATTCAACAAAACAGAAATAAAAACTCGAGTGTTACAAAAAATTCAAGGAGCAAGATATTTCCCTAGGATGTATAATCACCTTTTATGAGAACTAAGCACAAAAAAAACAAATCGTAATTAGATTAGCAAATATCGTACCTCTCTTGCCCAGCAGTGTCCCATATTTGTAGTTTGATTTTCTGTCCACTGACCTCAATAATACGAGTTCCGAACTCGACACCAATAGTATGCGGGCAATCAGCCATAACTGGAATTGTCAAAAAATCTGTTAAATCCTACTTTAAAACCTTATCAGTAAATTGTTGACGCTTATCAGTAAGTCAAAATACAAAAGTCAATGGACTGTGTTTGCTGCAATAACTTGCTGCAAAATCAAAAATATTACTAGCAGTAACCAAAAGCTTGGGAGAAAAGGCAATTTTTCGACATCAGTAGGATGCAAATTATGCGAAATTCTTTCGCAAAGCGATTTTTTCCCATTCGTGCGCGAAATGCCTACTACACTACCCCTCCACACAGTGGACCTTACCGTAAACTCCGCCCCAGATGGCCATACCCCACCTTTACCACGGATATAGTTTATACTTATATTACACCATCGTACTCTATAAATTCTACTTACACTGATTTTTCATGATTTCAACATATCACAGACATCTTGAATGCACTTTCGCAATGGTACACTACACTACACTTTACTTTCACAATGGTTAATGGTACACTTGACCACGCCCCCGACGACCCCGCCCATTCTTTAGAGGTTTACTGAGTAGCAAAGAAAAAGTATTGGAAACCTACATTTCTTTTCGGTGAACTGATGTAAAAGGCATGATTTTCCCACACCCATATCACCAATGATGATATATTTGAAGATGTAGGAGTAGTTATACGGAGCTCCCGACATTCTCCGAAAGCGCTTTACCTATAATACAATGTGAAACTAATCAATACATTGATTTTGCTGTATCAGTGGTGAGCGATATTGATACCAGTACTTCAATAAAAGTAAATGCCATAGAAGAACAGACAATGAATAAAAATATAACGAGAGAAAACGATATGACTTGACGAAAAGCGTTTGAATAAGAAATACTTTGTCCATTAACGGCTTCATAAGGCAAGAGGGGAAGTTCTACGGGAAATGCCAGCTGGAAGCAAACGTCAAGCAACGGGAAGAGTGCAGACGAAAAACCGACGATCAATAACATGCTAGACGAATACTGGCCAATATTTCTACGTAAACGACTCATTTATGAATGAAATAATGAATTATCTTATGAATGAAATAAAGAATTCCAATCGTATGAACTCACCACCCAGTCATCAAAGGGATAAATAGAGATCACGCGCTAACGATCGATGATACATGTACAGTAGTGATCCTACTAACAAAGTGCAACAGATAGTAGTAGGAACATTTCGGATATTCGTGAATTTCGCAACCTCACCGACCACACCAGCGGGCAGCCTGGCTCGATGTTATTCGAATCGATCGACAAATGACTAATGCTCAGTTTTTCATGTTCACGAAAAATAGATACGCATTCCCACTCAGCTTTGTTGCCAGAAAATATACTACAAAGTAATAAAGAGTTAACAAAATGGGAACAAATGTAATCTATTCTCTACGGCGCCCACCCACGAAGTCACTGACGCAACCCAATCGCGCCGTGATGAAACCAATTGTAAACCGGAAGTGAGACTGAAAGTAGAGATAAGATAAAGGAAGCTGCTGACACTTATCTAGAACTTGAAGTCTGACTCAATTGGGAAGACGACCAGGATGTGATCGATGATAGACTGAGGTGCGAAATCGATTGGAACCAACGAGACGTCGAACCGTGAATGCGCAAGCGATGCTGGCTGGCGCATAATCATTGATGCGTTTTAAATTAATTCTTTTTTTTCTTATTGTAATAGGTTTTATGTGATTCAGTGTGGTCATTTTCATTTCTTTTCGCACTACTTTTGTCATTACTAGCCTGGATGCGTGAGTAAGGCGCTCAGAGGGAAATGTGGGTTCATTTCTTATTGGTTGCGTCATTTTCGTTTCTTTTTTTTATTTCAGTAGTGTTGTATTTGGGCGGTTTTTTTAATGAAAGTGTTCAAGTCCAATCTTCCCTTTGCCACTGTTATGTCTCCAAGGTGCAAAGCCCGGCTGAAGTAACCCGGAACCTGATAAACTGATTAGCGCAATGCCAGCTTTCTGTCCCATTAAATCCCATTAAAAATGTTTTCTTGAGTAGGTTTTGAAGCAAGAACCGGGACTTTAACATTGTTTCATTTGTCTAACGTTTCAGCTTAGTCGCATTCGTCAACGCCCTAGGAAAGCAGGGCTGCTTGAGTGTCGATCACCGCTAAACCCTACTCAAGAAGACCTCACACGATGCCAAGGTTCATTGAAACTCGGCCGTGGATGCTCATTAGAAATGTCTTAAGGGCCACAGCCGGCTTACAAAGCAGTGATTTAAGGACGTCCGCGACCGGCTTTCTACGAACCTTGGCATCGTGTGTGGTCTTCTTCGGTATGTGTTGAAACCACTGCCGAGATATTAATGTAACTTTGCTCGGCTTACGGTTCGGTATGATTGCCTTTGTCGGAGCCTGCAAAGCCAATGATAAGTGGGATTTGCTGCTGATATCATTTCCAGGGCTTTGGTCATCTGAGACCGTGTTCGTGTTCGAACTGCTCCCTATCTTAAAAGGAATGGCCTGGAAAGTTCTAAGACACGATTTCCTCGTTATGCGATAACGTAGAAACTTGTTGGCAGCGGATGTTGGGCGTGACGAAGAAGGTGGATTTGGCGGAGAGCCAGCCATTACTGTAAAATTGTTGAAGTAGGTTCAGCGACAACATTAGGTGAGAACGGGTTGGCGCGGCGCT